GAACCAATTTGAGACACATCATAGGTTGTCTAGAAACTTGTTTGTATCAGGCTGATCTGGAAGTTCGACAGCATATCGAGGACGGACGGATGTGGATGTCTATGCTGAAACTGGTGTCACTATCAACTTCTGATATGGAAACTACCAAAGCTGGTTTGGAAAACTATATCCTGTTGCTGGGGATTTTTCAGGGTATATTTTTTTTCTTGCAGTGAAGACTTGCAAGTGCATGCAGGACCTATTGCAAATGCATGAAGCTGTTGCCAAGACTCAGAGGGCAGAGGACGGGCGAAGCTTTCTGAAAGAGTCTAGGCCAAGGAGCATCCTATCGAAGTGCCTGAATCGGGATGCTTTGACAGGCTTTGATTCTTGCTTTGCTTCATGTTGTGATTGGAGCTCCCAGTTGTGAATAGTTTTTGCTGGCTACAGAGGCTAGATTTACGCTAGTTTGGGAGGTTGTGTGACTTCCTTTGCTTGGCACATGATTCGTTGTAGCTGTGCTCCAAATCACAGGACTTCAAGGTTGTTGCGATTGGCGTTTGTGTTGTGTTACGTACCAGGCCCTGGCACAGCAGCAAGCAGACTTCGAGCAATCTTTGCGCTCCTGGCAGCGAAGGCTTCACTTGCAAGCGATCTCCTCAGCTGAGAAGCGAAGCGAATCAATCTCCTCAGCCAACTTGGCCAATACAGTCAATGCCAAGGCAGCACAAGCGAAGGAAGAGCAGAATGCCCAACTGCAGGCTTGAGTGAATGACACTTGCACAACTGGATGCCCCGCATGCAAACGATGCTGCAAGCTAGTCAGGCTCATGTAGATTTTTCTCCGCAGGAATTGGAGACCTCCACACAAGAGAGAGCGCAGCTTTCCAAGGACTGTGGCTTAGCCACAGACTTCTGTGTAACCCAAGAGGCGATGCAAATTTCGGGAATTTCGATGTGATCTTGATCATTTTGATCTCTCCGTTTCCAATTGATCCATTCGGTGCTTTCACTGCCTTCTCGACGAAAGTCACAGTGCTGACATGTTGAGCTGTAGGAGATGGTTCAACTCCGCGAGCAGCTGAAACTACAGACCGTCAAACTAGAGGAAGCCGAAAAGGCCTGACTTTTGTCACCAGTCACGGATGACACAGACATCACCTGCTAAATTTGGTTCTCGAGCTGCTCTTGTCTCGATCGTCTCAAGTGGAAGGTTATTTGAATAAGTATGTACAACTTACGTACAACTGAAAGCACAGGTTTTTCTCGTAAGTCCAGATGGTTTCTTGTTGGAATGCCAGTGATGATGATGCCAAGTTGCCTCTATTGCAGTTGAAGAGTGGTGATTTTGCACTGTAGCCACGGTCTAGCCCTTTAAATTCCTCATTGGACTAGACTCTTTTATTGGACTTTAAGTCGTAAGAGAAGTTGGTAATGGCGGCAAAGTCTAGTTCTTTCTGGAAAGGTGAGGCTTCGAAGTGTGGCAGCGGAAGAGGCGCACAACCAGTTTGTTCGAAGAACTCAACAAGTTTGTTCGCCGTGGTTTGAGAGATCATTTGATCATCAGATCTCCAAATTCGCAGTTACAACTGGGCCTTTCAGAGGATCAACAACTCCTTCCGCAACATGTTTGAACAACACTCTTACTCTTGCAGGGCATCTCGTACTGCGACTTTGTATATAGTTTTGTGTTTTTTGTCTAGGCCCTGGCAGAACGATTCCGTGCAGCGGCTGCAGCTGATGCCCGCCTTGAGGACCAGCGCAAGGCACCTTGGACAGACCGGGACAGGCTGGGACAGATGAATCTGATGAAGGCAGCGAAGGCATCAACTTCACAGAAGCGTCACTACTGAGCTACTGTAGATCTTTTCTTGCTGCTTGGTAAAAAATCGAATCACCAACAAGATTTGCAGTTGCCGCTTTTGTGTTTTTCTGTTCTTTTTTGCCCTTCTTGTTTTTTTGACAGTTGGATCTTCAATCAATTGTGACGGGATGTCCCTTCAGTCTTGCTTTGGCCTGTTAGGGAAAACTCCCAGGGCTGTGTGCTCCCTTGGTAACGGACAAAACCAACCGCTGCTGGCTGGGGTTTCGCTTTGTGGAGATTCATGCCCTCCAAACCTTGAGTGAGGACATCACCCCTAGTGTGTGTTGGTCTACCATTGATCGTCACTGGACTTCTCTGAAACCGCAGGCCCTGGCTTCGAAAGAGCAGGAGCTAGTTGCTGTGAGGCGCACTTTCAAGAGATGGTTTTTGAGACTTGCTCAGCGGAAGTTGATGCAGTGAAAGCATGGAGCTCTTTGGAGCGTTTGCACGAACGTTCCGTTGGAGGCGAGAGCTTCAACAGCAGCGTGGACTGCTATCAGCCCAACAGGCCACAAATGTGCTTGGGTTGGAGGCCATCACTAGTAGGTTGGAGGCCATCACTAGTAGGTTGGAGGCCATCGCTTGTAGGTTGGAGGCCAACGCTTGTAGGTTGGAGG